TGTGTGTGCATGTGTGTATGCGTGTGTGTGCGTGTGTGTACATCTTTGTGTGTGTATTTGTATGTATGTGTAGGTGTTGCATGTTTTGTGGATGTGTGTCAGGGTAATTGTGTGTACGTTTGTGATTTCCATTTTGCCGGGTGTTGATTAAAGCGAACTGTTATTGTAGGAGGTTCTGAAAAGGTTCAATAATATAATACCGTTGCTCGATCCATTGAACGATATGAAAATAAAAGATCCTACGCTGTACGAAAATATTACCAAACTGGAAGCACTGGAAAGACGATATACAGCTCATCCATTGAGGTATGGCAATTTTTACTGCACTATTATAAATGCGGAAAATGTTATTTCTTGACCTGTAAACCTACATTTTTCGTTTCGGATCAGATTTAAATTCACTTTAGTTTTTCATTTCTGCTTTAAGCATTAAAGACCTTATGCGTGATACTGATTGTTAAGCCTTTTCCCCTGTTCCCTGTTTTTTTATTCGAGGGAAATGTGGTGCATCTCCATCGAAGGAAAAAAAAGCAATACAAGAAAACACATACCGACGGAGGTACTGGAGACGCCAGATTTTCACCGGCATATGTGCCTGAAAAGAGGAAGACTCGAAGGACCAAAATTGAAGGAGAGAATGAATGAGGAGAAAGTAGAAATTAAGATGCTCAGTGTACAGGTTGGCGACATGACGAAATTCACATGGCAGTTACGAAACTTTAAATTTGTTAAGTTCTGTCTTGAACAGAGCCCTTTCTCCAAAAACTGCTGTGGGCCTGCGAGGGATCGAACCACTCGTGTTCACGTTTAAACGCAATGTATTACCACTACACCACATCTACTGTGTGCCTGGTTTTCAAGGCAAGATACACCCTCTCTTTTTCTTTGTAGCGGCTTCTTGGCTGGCTTCTCACAGGTTTTTCACGATCAGTTAGCTGTTCCTTGTTTTTATCTTTTAGCCAGTTGTAACAGTCACTGAGGTGTTTTTTAGTCCCTGTTATTGATCCTGATACTTTGCTTCAGTTCGATCATCCTCGGGAAATGAATATGAATATTGAAATGTTTTAGAGCCAGCAGCAATTTCAATGATATTTATAAGAAATATGAACAAAAACTGGAATTGGAGGCAGAACTGAAAGCAGCTAAAGCAGAGCTCAAAAAAGCACAAAGTTTGTTGCAACTCGAAGAGCTGAAGTGCAGATTGCGAGTACTACGAAGACTACAGTATTGTGACGAAAAGGACGTGATCCTGCCAAAGGTAGGAGATGAGTTATGTCCCGCTAGTGCCAGTAACATAAATTTGTTCTTTTTGGTAGTGAATGAATAACTGGATTACTTGGCGACGGACGGGGTGGGGAAAGAGGAATATTTTTGAAGATGGAATCTCTTGGAATGCTTAGTAGCGTTTATGCGTTTTTCTTTGGATTACTTCGCGGTCACACTCACATTCATATATGCTTTCTACAATTTTTTGACTCGTTTGATAGTAAATTAGTACAAGCGCATGCTAGGGAGTC